GCGTGCTAATTTAACACCACCAAAAAGGTGTTATTTTAACACCCATGTTCTCACTCCACAAACAGTGCTAATTTAACACTGGGGAATACAAATTCTTAACACCACTTATGGTGTTATTTTAACACCAAGAATTTAGCACCAGAAACCGGTGTTATTTTAACACCACCTGCCCTTAAGTGGGTGTTATTTTAACACCTCTAAAGTGGTGTTAAACAATTTGAGTGTTAAATTAACACTTTGCAAAATATTTTTATTTATGTCGTGTTAAATTAGCACCGAAAAAGGGTGCTAAAATAACACTTTTGTTTAACACCACCAGTTGGTGTTAATCTAACACCACCCGAGGTGTTATTTTAACACCCTGAAATTAACAGTGTGGGCGGTTTATAGGAAATTGAGAAACCATGTCGTTAAGGTCAACAGAGAAAGCAAAAGAGCATATTTTCTTGAAGCTATTAATAATACCAAAAAAGATCCAAAGTCAATGTGGAAAACAATAAACAATCTGTTAGGACGCTCAAATTGTCCAATACCAACTTATGCAGAGAGTAACGGTGAAATTTACACAAAACCTAAAGATATTGCCAATCATTTCGCAAAGTTCTTTAATGAAAAAATAAAGAAATATAGATTTGAGATGTCCAACCCGATAGATACGGAGTATGTAACTAAATCAATTACCGAAATAATGACTGGAAAAAACTGTCGGTTTGAGTTCTCATCTTTAAGTCTTTTAGAAGTTCACAGCTGCCTTGCTAAGCTTCCAGATACTAAAGTGACAGGCGTAGACGGCATTGATAATTTTTTACTTCGAATTGCGTCGAATATCATTGCGGAACCTATTAGATACATTTTTAACTGTTCATATGCGAAGTCAATATTTCCTGATCAATGGAAAGTAGCTAAACTACACCCGATTCCCAAAGATAAGAAACAGCCTTTTGAAGATATAAATAGTCGACCCATCAGTCTTCTAAATGTATTAAGTAAACTGCACGAAAAATTTGCGCATAAACAAATCTGTCACTATGTCTCCGAACATAACTTAATGCTCAAGAATCAACATGCAAATAGAATCAATCATAGCACTGAATCAGCACTTTTACATCTGACTGACAGTTGCCTTGACAACATGGAGAATGGTATGCTTACTGGTGCTGCTTTGTTGGACTTTTCAGCTGCTTTCGACCTGATTGATCATAATTTGCTGCTTCTGAAATTGAAATGTTATAACTTTTCAGATAATGCGATTAACTGGATCAAGTCGTATTTAAGTGAGAGAACCTCAACCGTATATATCAATGGTGCTTTTTCTAATCCGATCGAGATGACTTGTGGGGTGCCACAGGGTAGTTGTCTTGGCCCACTGCTCTTCAGTTTGTTTGTTAATGATTTACCAACAGTCTTAACTACAGCTGATATCACCTTGTACGCCGATGATAGCACTCCGTTCCACTCTGGACATAACGCCAGACTCATATCAGATAAACTTCAACTTGACTTATCTAAAGTTGAATTATGGGTCTCGAAGAATCGTCTTGTTCTTAATGCTGATAAAACAAATAGTATCCTTATTGGAAGTCGGCAGAAGATTAAATCAGCTCCATCGCTTAACTTATCCATTAAAGATAAAATCAATGAACAACTTCCATGTGTAAAACGCCTTGGCGTCCAGGTTGACGAGAACTTAAGTTGGAAGCAGCATTGTGAAGATCTACTTAAAGATTGTTCCAAAGCTCTTGGCTTACTGTTCAAGTTCAGCAGATATATTCCATCAAAAGTTTTAAAGATTATCGCTGAGGCACTCATACTGTCGAAATTGAACTATTGTTGTACGGTTTGGGGATCTGCGCAAAATCAAGAGTCGATTAATAATTTACAAAAACTTCAGAACAAGGCCGCCAGATTGATCCTAGGATATAAGGTTGATGAAATATCTAGGGAAAATCTCCATGATGAAATAGGTTGGTTAACAGTGAGACAAAGGATTCATGTCAGAACCTTAATGGTATTGCATAATGTACTTTATTCTGGTGAACCAAATGCAATTTACGTGAATTTTAAACCATTTGAAATTACTCATGAACACAATACTAGATTTTCGTCGAGGTGTCGAAGTGATAATATGTTGTTAGAGAAACCTATGTTAAAAAAGAAAACCTTTTTAGCTCGGGCTTTTAGGACCAGAGCTATCCGTCTATGGAACAATTTAGACTATACTATAAAAATCATATCTTCCAAATCCATGTTTAAGTCTGCTGTTCTTAAACAGCTAGACTGGTTCATATAATTATTATTAACTATTTGAACTTTTAACGTATTTTAGTAATTTTTAAGAATAACTAGATTTATAGACTTTTATCTTGTAGGGTAATCCTATTTTTAAGACCTCGTGTAAACTAGCGTTAGCTAACAGAGGTTCTTTTTTAAATACAAAATACAAAATAAATACAAATACAAATCTTGCTAAGTGTTTTCACATGTCATTTCATTCTAACTGACACATAAACTCCACTGAATTTTGACAGCCATCTCCAGGCTTGTAACTAAAATGAGGGTCCTGAAGGGGGGGGGTCGTATTCCCATTTCCCAGCCCAAATTTTGACTAAATCCCTATGGGCGTACCGGGCGGGGGGGGTGGCCCCTCCAGTTTGTTGGACAAACAAAGCCAGTCGGGCAATATTCGCTTCACAGTCGGGCAACAACGCGGGCACAATCCGAAAAAGTGGGGCAAATTTTTTCCGCCCCCCCCCTAATTTTTCCTTCCCGTACGCCCATGTAAATCCCATTGTCCCAGAGCACAAATCCCATCATCTCAGTGGCTGTCCTGCTCAAATCTTGATCCCATTCCCATTTTCCATTGTTTTTTTTGCTGATGAATCCCAGCCCAGTGCATAAAATCCAATTTTCCCACCCAAAAATAAGCAAATCCAAGTTCCCATTTTACCCCTTCAGGACCCTCTAAAATGTCACTCACAGTATTCATTAACGTACGTTTATATCAAAAGAGAGCGTATTAAGAAATCGACGCTGATCACAATCGATCTAACGATTCATACAATTGTGAATTCATAAATACGAGCCAGTAAAAATAGGATTGTTTTGTCGTATGTGTGACTCTATCGGGTGGTCATATGTCTCGCACGTGATTGTAAAGTCCTAGTATTTATATGTAGCTTCACATATGTGATATGAGTAATTTTTGCGGAAATAGGTGCATTAAAAGCGGGAAGGATGGACAGTAATATATAAGGAAGCGATAAAACTAGTTATTAGATAATAGTTATTATTATTGAATGTTGTGGCTAAATGTTTGGGAAAGTTTTTGTTTTATATTATACTGGATTATTCCTTTGATTGTATATGCCTCTTGTTTACTTTAATTTCGAGAATTTGAGCATACTAATTATGTTTCTCAAATATTGCTTGCTTTATGTTCCGATATAGGAAATGAAATTAGTTCAGCCGTCATAAGCGTACGAGCGGGAAAAAATCACGGAGCCAGAAAGAAAATTTGCCCGACTTTTACCCACTGAATAAAATTTTCCGTGTAACTAAATTTCCAAAATTGTCGTTGGGAAGTAGACAAAAATATTTTCCTATTTGTCGATTCCTCGTTACTTTTACATATTTCTGTCTGGTATTTTCAAATACCATATTGCATGTACTGTCTTCTTTTTAAATTTATTTCCCCCAATTTTTGCCCGAATTTATACGTTTACAATTTGCATGACTTTATTTTGACTGGGGGGCGAGACTGCCTCCCCCCCCCCCTCACCCATACGGCTATAATCAGCCGTTGTTACGAATCGGTTAATATATATTGTGTTAAAAATATTTTGACTTTGTTGTTTCTGATGACAATTTTGCCGACTCTCGACTTTTCAGTTACTCTCGACTTTTTACTCTCGATCGACTCTCGACTTTTTACTCTCGACTCTCGACTTTTTACTCTCGACTCTCGACTTCTTACTCTCGACTCTCGACTTTTTACTCTCGACTCTCTACTTTTACTCTCGACTCTCGACTTTTACTCTCGACTCTCGACTTTTACTCTCGACTCTCGACTTTTACTCTCGACTCTCGACCTTTACTCTCGACTCTCGACCCTCGACTTTTAGATACACTCTATATTCTACCACCTCAAACTCAATTATAGGCATACAGCAAATACTGTACTTTAGAATAATGTGTGTTTACTTTGATGCACAGTTAAAATAATCAGTAAAATTACTTTATTTTGATACACTAATGTCTATTGATCTTGTTATATTTCACAAGTACTGGGACCCAAAAATACAGCATTGAGATATGTTGGCCAAGTGCGACACCACAAATTATTATTGTCTCCCCACACGTCGCGTTTAAAGAAAATGAAAGCTTGTTGCTCGTTTAACGCCGGATTATAACCACGTGCCAAATACGGCAAATGCCGCGGGCCTCGCGCTTTAAGGTGGAGTAATACGGGCAACAAAATTCCTGCAACTTGCAACAAAATCTGATTTCTACGCATGTTAATTGAAAATGTTTGCACATACATTACAAATCACGAGGCAACATGTGTCGACATTCCTACTTAACATGCCTTGAAATCAGATTTTGTTGCAAGTTGCAGCAATTTTGTTGCTCGTATTACTCCAGCTTTACTGTGCTACGCCTATTTTTACGAGAACATGGCCATTTTCTATTGGGACACACCCATTTTAGGCGCCTCGCGAATTTAGGGACCTCGCGCATTAGGGCCCCTAGGCTTGGTAGTTCGCCCTAGCATGGCCCCGGGAAAATATGCAATACTCGTGTTCATATAATCTTTAGTTGCGTTGAGCTGTTATATTATGATCCTGTTTATACCCACCAACTGCGCCAGGCAGGCCATTATCTCGTTTATAATTGATGCAAATAAATTGCAATATTGAAAACAATTATTTAACACTTTTGTGTATCTTTAAATTCAATGGTTTTCATAAAAAGAAGAAAGGGGGAGGTTTGGGGGCCTCGCGCTAAAATTTGCCACGGGCCTCGCGCGACGTTAATCCGGCCCTGGTCACTTGTCGGTAGATCTTGCGGTTTTAATGCCAATTGACAAAGATCAAAAGAGAGCACTGATGATTCCCCCCGTTGGAGAAATACTGGCGCAGCCCAAACCAGCTCAGTGAAATATGGGGCCCCAGGGCCAATTATACCCTTGGGGCCCCGGTGAACCACAATTACCCCCCTCCGTCGACAAACTTTTTTATCGCCTTGCAAATTTGTATTTGCCTGTCTTCCTTGAGCTGGGTCGCGGAGAAAATTGCTCCCTTTGCCGCCTCCCTGCATGGGCGGCCCTGGCGCCGCCCTTGTCTTATCATAACTATCTACCCTAATTCAAGCTGATTGGCGCGGCTCGATGAATTAATTGCCGCTTTCAAACAGAGGTTTATTATTTTAAACCTCTAGAACCAGGGTACCTTTTGTCACTCTGAGGCCAGCGAAATAACCTCTTCCGCAACATGCACGTACGCGTCTACTATCGTCAAGAAACAATCAATACGTATAATCGTTGTGGTCTGTAGGATTTTAATTCAATAGTGTAAACTTGCAGTTTTAGGGAAGCCTCACATATCGATTTTTTCCACAAGAAAACGTCATATGTTCGTTTTGGGGGTGGGGGAGGGGGGTTTACAGCTGTGACGTTTCTCTGTAAATATCATGGAAAAGTTCGATAGTTTTTTCGAATACCTTAACATTTCGGAATCAACTTTGCAGAGTATAAAAAAGAAAACAACTTGAAAGAAAACGACTATTCAAATATAAGGGCTGGTAAACTAAAAATAAAAACTCCTTATATGGATAAACATTATAAACGTTCATTTCACATGTACACGCACGCTAACAGCTGCTTAATAATTAACTTACGTATTTGTAAACATCAGTCGATAAATATAATGGTACATTAATATGGACAAAATGGATCAAAACCTCTGAAAACAGCAGTTGTAGTTCCAATTCTTTTGGGGAATTTAGTAGCAAATATAATCCTTAAATAGCTCATCGATTTGTATATGTTAGCGCTAAAGTCAAACGGCCGGGTCGTAGATCACGTTGAATAATGATCTGAAGTTATCATGCAACCGTCAACAATGTCTCAAAATGGGCTATTCCATTTAATATCCGTACCCCCCCTGTCGAGGATACATGTTTTTCATAGTTATACCCCTGAAGAATTCCAAGCTCAAAACTGGTTACCCCTGAAGAATTCCAAAATTCCAGGCTCAAAACTCTTTACCCCTGAAGAATTCCAAGCTCAAAACTGGTTACCCCTGAAGAATTCCAATATTCCAGGCTCAAAACTCTTTACCCCTGAAGAATTCCAAGCTCAAAACCTTTTACCCCTGAAGAATTCCAAGCTCAAAACCTGTCACCCCTAAAGAATTCAAAGCTCAAAACCCTTTA